GGACAACTTCACCGCATCAAAGGGACGATGGACGGGGCCATGTACCGTCAAATCTTGGGTGAGAACCTCATTCCCTCAGCCAGGGCATTGAAAATGGGTCGTGGATGGGTATTCCAGCATGACAATGACCCAAAACACACGGCCAAGGCAACAAAGGAGTGGCTCAAGAAGAGGCACATTAAGGTCCTGGAGTGGCCTAGCCAGTCTCCAGACCTTAATCCCATAGAAAATCTGTGGAGGGAGCTGAAGGTTCGAGTTGCCAAACGTCAGGCTCAAAACCTTAATGGCTTGGAGAAGATCTGCAAAGAGGAGTGGGACAAAATCCCTCCTGAGATGTGTGCAAACCTGGTGGCCAACTATAAGAAACGTCTGACCTCTGTGATTGCCAACAAGGGTTTTGCCACCAAGTACTAAGTCATGTTTTGCAAAGTGGTCAAATACTTATTTCCCTCATTAAAATGCAAATCAATTTATAAAAAAAATTACATGCGTTTTTCTGGATTTTGTTGTTGTTATTCTGTCTCTCACTGTTCAAATAAACCTACCATTAAAATTATAGACTGATCATATCTTTGTCAGTGGGCAAACGTACAAAATCAGCAGGGGATCAAATACTTTTTTCCCTCACTGTATGTAAATAAGGTATTTGAGTTTTTTGTTTTCGCTTTGTAATTATGGGTTATTGTGTGTAGATAGATTTTTTATTTAATAAATGTTAGAATAAAACTGTAGTGTAACAAAATAGGGCTAAAGGTATATATATATATATATATATATATATATATATATATATATATATATTATATATATATATATATATATATATATATAGCGGCACCATGTAAAGAAGGAATGAGCAGCTCAAATAAATGTCTACTCTAGTGTGGGAATCAAAATGTTTACAAGTCTCAATATTTACAGTGGACCTTTTCATATGTGGTCTCTGTTTTGTCTGGAGGTAACTGTGACTAGACGATGGGAGCACAAATGACAGTATACTGAGATAAGAGTCCCTACAGCCGGTCCCAAATCACTCCCTACTGCTACCCCTTGGTCCTAACCCGTCAATGTTTGCTGATCTGAAGGGTCTGGATAGGTAAGAGCAATGTAGTGGTGCTTCCATCATATCGCTTCCACTGTACAGATCTGCAAATCTCCGATCTGTAGGCCTTAGATCAGAGGGCCTAGGGGAAGATGTAGGGAACAAATTGGGACCGACTGCTTGGGTGGTGCCCTATGCTCCTGTGAGTTCTCTTCCACAGCGCTCACCCAGGTCTCTATGTCGTGGTCCTGGAGGCCCACTGTGTGTGCAGGTTTTAGTGGGGACAGTGTTCTCGGGGTGATGAGAGGTGTTGGGTTTGCGCCAGACATAGCATTTTCGTTGATGGCAAAAAGCTCTATTTTAGTCTAATCTGACCAGAGTACCTTCTTCCATATGTTTGGGGAGTCTCCCATATGGCTTTTGACGAACACCAAACGTGTTTGCTTAATTTTTTCTTTAAGCAATGGCTTTTTTCTGGCCACTCTTACGTAAAGCCCAGCTCTGTGGAGTGTACGGCTTAAAGTGGTCCAATGGACAGATACTACAATCTCCGCTGTGGAGCTTTGCAGCTCCTTCAGGGTTATCTTTGGTCTCTTTGTTGCCTCTCTGATTAACGCCCTGGTCCGTGAGTTTTGGTGGGCGGCCCTCTCTTGGCAGGTTTGTTGTGGTGCCATATTCTTTCCATTTTTTAATAATGGATTTAAATGGTGCTCCGTGGGATGTTAAAAGTTTCTGATATTTTTTCTTAACCCAACCCCGATCTGTACTTCTCCACAACTTTGTCCCTGACCTGTTTGGAGAGCTCCTTGGTCTTCATGGTGCCGCTTGCTTGGTGGTGCCCCTTGCTTAGTGGTGTTGCAGACTCTGGGGCCTTTCAGAACAGGTGTATATATACTGAGATCATGTGACACTTAGTTAAATAAACTGTGTGCAATCTAATTATGTGACTTCTGAAGGTAATTGGTTGCACCAGATCTTATTTAGGGGCTTAATAGCAAAGCAGGTGAATACATATGCACGCACCACTTTTCCATTATTTATTTTTTAGAATTTTTTGAAACAAGTTATTTTTTTCATTTCACTTCACCAATTTCAACTATTTTGTGTATGTCCATTACATGAAATCCAACTAAAAATCTATTTAAATTACAGGTAATGCAACAAAATAGGAAAAACGCCAAGGGGGATGAATACTTTTGCAAGGCACTGTAAATATTTCACAGAGTTCAAGTAACAGACACATCTCAACATCAACTGTTCAGAGGAGACTGTGAATCAGGCCTTCATGGTCGAATTGCTGCAAAAAAAATGTCCACTACTAAAGGACACCAATAAGAAGAAGAGACTTGCTTGGGCCAAAAAACACGAGCAATGGACATTAGACTGGTGGAAATGTGTCCTTTGGTCTGGAGTCCAAATTTGAGATTTTTGGTTCCAACCGCAGTGTCTTTGTGAGACGCGGTGTTGGTGAACGGATGATCTCCGCATGTGTAGCAAATTATAATGTTTGTTTTTGCATCTGTGCTCTTTTGTGTTTCAAGCCTACAATGGCGACCTCAATGCGACCTTCCCCAGACAGCTCCACATCTCACTCCCATGCTAGAGGAACTTTGTATTCACAGAGCACACTGCCTTACCCTGGCGCTCTTACGCAAGCCTCTTACGAGTCATGCTGCCATTGCTGCTCTGATGTGGCCTTTTACATAAGGTGTTTGTTTGCAGCTGGTGGTGAATAAATCCTCTTGTTGTCCTGTGACAATATTACACTTTGAGGATCCTGTTAGTTTGAGCGGAACTAAAAATAGCCTGAGGTCAATTGTTTTTCTGTGAGTCTCCGACTGTTAAATCGCTTTCTCGAAGGTGAGTAGCACTCGACAGTTATTACAGGGCGCATTTGTAAAATAGATCTAGGTCTCAATGTTTCCCCTGTTAAAATAAAGGTTTAAAAAAATATACATACGTGGCTGGTTACGTAACACAGTGGTGTACCCCAGCTTGACACATTGGTGTGAAGGAATAGTCCTGAAATGCCTTCACATTCTGCATTCACACCGAACTGTTATGGTTTTCCGCTAATATGAAACAGTACAGTACAAGAACATTCTCTAAATATTGGTTTAGAGAAGCGTTTTGTTCCATTACTATTCTGGAAGTCTCGTGTCCATATGCTAATTCTACAGTGCCCCCCCCCCCTGGCCTGTACATAGTGAAGACGGTTACTGGAGGTTGTGTTCAAAATCATATTTTTTTTGTGTGTTTATTTATTTTTTGTTCTTTTTTTTGTACCCCTTTTTCTCCCCAATTTCATGGTATCCAATTGGTAGTTACAGTCTTGTCCCATCGCTGCAACTCCCGTACGGACTCGGGAGAGGCGAAGGTCGAGAGCCGTGCGTCCTCCGAAACACAACCCAACCGAGCCGCACTGCTTCTTGACACAATGCCCGCTTAACCCGGAAGCCAGCCGCACCAATGTGCCGGAGGAAACGCTGTACACCTGGCGACCGTGTCAGCGTGCACTGCGCCCGGCCCGCCACAGGAGTCGCTGGTGCGTGATGGGACAAGAACATCCCTGCCGGCCAAACCGTCCCCTAACCTGGACGACGCTGGGCCAACTGTGCGCCACCCCATGGGTCTCCCGGTTGCGGCCGGCTGCGACAGAGCCTGGACTCGAACCAGGGTTGTGTTCAAATTCTTATAACTTCCTGTGAGGGAACGTCTTTTGTGAAATGGCATGTACAGTACACCAACAAAAAGGATTCAATAGAAAAATGGAAATGCACTATTCCTGATTTCTTATCTAACCCTCCAGTAGCATTCTTGGAATAAAAAATAGTTTTTGCTCTTGAGAAGGAATCTGTCTATTTTAACATCACAGTGCACCACACTCTACTTGTATAACCCACGTCAACAATGAAGTTTAAAGTTTGCAGGATTTTACTCCAATTGGCCATGAAACCACTCAGTGTAATTACTCATCTCGCTCCCTCAACAAGGGATTGGTTTGGTCAAAACTTTTATTAGGTCAATCAGCAGGTTTAGCACTTGGCTGCTGTAAAATCCCACCAACACAATAGAGCGACTATTTAGGATTGGCCAAATCCAAACGTTGATTCCAAAGAATGTACAAAACAATGCCAGATTAACCGGGCGACGCAAATCAAGTCAATGCAAGCCAAGAGGATAATCCTTTTAGATCAGATTGTCTTTCTCACCTCCACTCTAAACCCCCCACCTACTCCATTCAACATTACATTACCACTACCATTAAGCTTACAGTTTCATCCTCTCTTGTCACTGCTCAGACTCTCTTCTCTTGTGGACATTCACAGATTTCTATCAGTATTTACTGTATTTCCGTTTACATTTCATACACAATCAATATCAATAATGTGGTCTTATGTCCCAATAGAGCCTTCAGGTTCATGTCGTCCATCCAGACCCGAGTTAAAGTACTATTTGAAATCATTTCAAGTACCTTCTGTGCTTAATGGATCAGTAGAATAGTACTATTTGAAATAATTTCAAATACTTTATTTGTGCTAAATGGACCAGTAGAATAGTTCTGAAACTACAAACCCTTCCCATCTGGCAGGTATTTGAAAGATTTCAAATAGTATTTGAACCCAGGTCTGCTTCCATCCACTATAGGGTAGGAAATATGTTGAAAAGGAAGAGGTGTCCTTGCAGTAGGCCTACTGGATGTGATCTAGATGGGCTTTTTATCAATTCCCCATTTCACTATTCCTTGAATCCAATCTTCTTGCCTTATTCCCAACCATATTGGAGAAGAAGGTCCAAGGTCCCTTTCCTTGGACCTTCTTCTCCAACGCCTTTTGAGAAGGAGGCGAGGAGAGAGGATGCGAGGAATTAAGGAAAGATTAATTGAGAAAGGTGTGGGTGAAAATGACACTACTTACTTGGTGAGTTTCATCTCGATCTGCTGGCGTATTTCCTGACGTTCCTGTTCAGTCCGCGCTGGGAAGATATTCCGGTCTTCAAGCTCCTCTTTGCTGGGTCGATTCCGAAGCTTCACCACCAACAGCTCCTTCCTTAGCCTGCGAGGTAGTGTACCTGCACACACACACACACACACAGGACGTCAGCGATCACTTCGAGATTGCTCTCACAGGGCAGAAACCTAACATAAAATGTCCACATTCAACTCAAACCTCGTAAATCACGTGCAGGTCTCAAGTTTAGAAGAGTCCATAATGGCCAAAAACAAAACAAACATTTTAAATGTGTAATGTCTTAAAATTGCTGTAAACGCCGTAAAACCAGCTCAACCCATCGTCTGTTTTGTTCCCCCCAATGTTGAGCCCAGGAGTTAGAATGTTTGAAAATGAATGGCTATTTTCGATTTGTTATATATCGCTTGGGAATTAGTTTAATAAGGGGGATATCATTAATATCTGTTGTTTCCTTTAAGAAAGGACCCACCAGAGATGACGGAGTCATTCCAGTCGTCCTGATCGTGGGGGAGGCCTGAGGCGTCGGAGAAGCACTGGTCCAGCCGCATGTTCTCCTTGTTCTCCTCCGCCTCCTTCTTCCTGTCCGCTTGGTGGAGCCAGTCGATAACGCCACCGCTCGCCGCCGACTGATTCTCCGAGCTGGAGGAGCGAGAGATCCGCCCATCAGAGCGCCGCCACGGGGTCGAGCCCGGCTCAGCAGGCCCATGCACTCTGAGGGAACACGGGAGGGAGGAGGGAGCATGGGGGTTAACAGGACAAGAGGGGGTTGATGGATGGGTGAGCATGGCGGTGCAGGTCCATTTGAAAGGTAACATACAGGTAGGCGTTAACATGGAGACAGTGGGTAAGCATTTAGGTGAATATACCATAGGAGTGAACACTGGATTCTTCAATGGGGGAGTGAACATGCAACATGGTGGATGTAAACTGACATCGGCTATAAAACCAATGAGGGATTAAATAATGCTTTACTTAAAAACCTGCAGGTATAATGCATTATGATCCAGTTATAATGCATTGTAAGACTTGTCATGAGCATGCATACATAGAGAGATATATAATAAGCCTTATTATAAGACATTATAAAGGCTCATACTTGCTTATAACAAGTTATAAAGCCTTATACCTACAGGATTTAAGTTACCGAACATGAGAGACAACATGAACTCCCCGTCACATAATGGTGAGATTATGTGTCTGTTTGCAGTGAATGAGCTGTGCTGCTCACCTTTCCTGCCGGTTCACCTTTGAGGCGAAGGCTCGTTGTAGCTCCTCCATGATACAGCTAGGGGGCATGGGAGGGTGCATAATATTGGCGAGGTGAGGAGACCCTGAGGGGTTGGAAAGGGGCCCTCGCAGGGCCACCATCGGGGCCAGGCTCTCGGGAGCCCTAGGCGGCTCTTTAGGCAGGAAAGAGTTGGCCAAGTGTGAGGGCACAGGGGATGGGTCTGAGAGGCAGAGAAAGACAAAGAGATATTAGTTGTCAGGTAACATAGTGGTGGGTGTGTGTGTGTGTGTGGTCCATATTGCAATCCTCTTTGTGTATGGATATGTGGTCCTTTAATATGTTGTGTATGTACGAGATGTGAGCTAGCTAGCTGTTTGCACTAGTAGTAATACAGTGGGGGAAAAAAGTATTTAGTCAGCCACCAATTGTGCAAGTTCTCCCACTTAAAAAGATGAGAGAGGCCTGTAATTTTCATCATAGGTACACGTCAACTATGACAGACAAATTGAGGAAAAAAAATCCAGAAAATCACATTGTAGGATTTTTAATGAATTTATTATCAAATGATGGTGGAAAATAAGTATTTGGTCACCTACAAACAAGCAAGATTTCTGGTTCTCACAGACCTGTAACTTCTTCTTTAAGAGGCTCCTCTGTCCTCCACTCGTTACCTGTATTAATGGCACCTGTTTGAACTTGTTATCAGTATAAAAGACACCTGTCCACAACCTCAAACAGTCACACTCCAAACTCCACTATGGCCAAGACCAAAGAGCTGTCAAAGGACACCAGAAACAAAATTGTAGACCTGCACCAGGCTGGGAAGACTGAATCTGCAATAGGTAAGCAGCTTAGTTTGAAGAAATCAACTGTGGGAGCAATTATTAGGAAATGGAAGACATACAAGACCACTGATAATCTCCCTCGATCTGGGGCTCCACGCAAGATCTCACCCCGTGGGGTCAAAATGATCACAAGAACGGTGAGCAAAAATCCCAGAACCACACGGGGGGACCTAGTGAATGACCTGCAGAGAGCTGGGACCAAAGTAACAAAGCCTACCATCAGTAACACACTACGCCGCCAGGGACTCAAATCCTGCAGTGCCAGACGTGTCCCCCTGCTTAAGCCAGTACATGTCCAGGCCCGTCTGAAGTTTGCTAGAGTGCATTTGGATGATCCAGAAGAGGATTGGGAGAATGTCATATGGTCAGATGAAACCAAAATAGAACTTTTTGGTAAAAACTCAACTCGTCGTGTTTGGAGGACAAAGAATGCTGAGTTGCATCCAAAGAACACCATACCTACTGTGGCATGGGGGTGGAAACATCATGCTTTGGGGCTGTTTTTCTGCAAAGGGACCAGGACGACTGATCCGTGTAAAGGAAAGAATGAATGGGGCCATGTATCGTGAGATTTTGAGTGAAAACCTCCTTCTATCAGCAAGGGCATTGAAGATGAAACGTGGCTGGGTCTTTCAGCATGACAATGATCCCAAACACACCGCCCGGGCAACGAAGGAGTGGCTTCGTAAGAAGCATTTCAAGGTCCTGGAGTGGCCTAGCCAGTCTCCAGATCTCAACCCCATAGAAAATCTTTGGAGGGAGTTGAAAGTCTGTGTTGCCCAGCGACAGCCCCAAAACATCACTGCTCTAGAGGAGATCTGCATGGAGGAATGGGCCAAAATACCAGCAACAGTGTGTGAAAACCTTGTGAAGACTTACAGAAAACGTTTGACCTGTGTCATTGCCAACAAAGGGTATATAACAAAGTATTGAGAAACTTTTGTTATTGACCAAATACTTATTTTCCACCATAATTTGCAAATAAATTCATTAAAAATCCTACAATGTGATTTTCTGGATATTTTTTTCTCATTTTGTCTGTCATAGTTGACGTGTACCTATGATGAAAATTACAGGCCTCTCTCATCTATTTAAGTGGGAGAACTTGCACAATTGGTGGCTGACTAAATACTTTTTTTCCCCACTGTATATGCTATTTAGCAGACTTACAGTCATGCGTGCATACATTTTACGCATGGGTGGTCCCGGGAATCAAACCCACTACCCTGGCGTTACAACCGCCATGCTCTACCAACTCAGCTACAAAGATAATAAGGTAGTAAGCTAGTAGCCATCATGTGGTGACATTGCCACCTGGCCTGAGACTTGAAGTAGTGTCGCCCTCGCCAACCAAAGTCATTGGTAAGCTAATGGTAGGAAGCATGCTAATTTTTGGAATACGAAGTGTCATTGTTAAAGTGAGATCGAACCCCGGGTTGGCCGTACAGGTATGGTACGTCAGAAAGTATTCATACCCCTTGACTTATTCCACATTTTCTCACCCATCTACACACAGCTCTGCTTTTTATATTTTAACCCATCTACCAATAGGTGCCCTTCTTTGTGAGGCATTGGGAACCCTCCCTGGTCTTTGTGGTTGAATCTGTGTTTGAAATTCACTGCTCGACTGAGGGACCTTACAGATAATTGTATGTGTGGGGTACAGAGATGAGGTAGTCATTCAAAAATCCTGTTAAACATTATTATTGCACACAGAGTGAGTCCATGCAACTTATTATGTGACTTGTTAAGCAACGTTTTACTTCTGAACTTACTTAGGCTTGCCATAACAACGGGGTTGAATACTTATTGACATTTCATATTTTCATTTTTAATCAATTTGTTTAAAAAAATAAACATAATTCCACTTTGACATTATGGGGTATTGTGTGTGTAGGCCACTGACCAAAACATCTCAATTTAATCCATTTTAAATTCAGGCTGTAACACAATAAAATGTGGAAAAAGTCAAGGGGTGTGAATAATTCCTGAAGGCACTGTATGTGTTTCTGAGTGTGTGTTTGTGTACTTGTACATGTGGGGTCCACACTACCCCTCTCTGAGTGTGCAGTGCAGTGTTTTGGCATTATGGTCCCCTCTTAGTACATTCCACTGGGTTGTGGGTCAATTCCATTTCAAATCAATTAATTCATCAAGTAAACTGAAATTCCGATTCCACATTTTCTCAATGCTTTTCATTAAGGAAAACTTTGAATCGGAATGTCTGTTCACTTCCTGAATTGACTCGTCAATTCGAATTGACCCTAACCCTGGTACATTTCACTAGCCTTCTCACCCTCGCCACTGCTCATCTGTGGCATCACCGGTTTGGCCGCTACTGGGGGAGGTGTGGTTCCCCGAGGTATTTCCTCTTCCTGCCTCTCCTCCGTATTTTCTCCTCCCTCCTGGACCTCCTCAGAGGCATCGGCACCAGGCTGCGCCTCTTCCTCTCCCTCCTCTTCCTCATCTTCCTCTTCCTCTGTATTTTGACTGCTCTTTTGCTCTGGCTCACAATCCTCTGGAGGCTCAGCCACTGAAAGATGTGTTACAATTAATTAAGTTTAATCTCGTAACATCAGGACACCATTTACAGTGACAGTTGTTGTCAGTGAATGGACGATGCATTTTCATCACCACTGGTTGTTTTCAAATGTCTCCGCTGCTCCCTAGTGGGTCGTGTGAGTATCATGTGGTTAATTTCGTGGGACTTACATACATCTAAAATAGCCTACTGTGAATCATATTTATAAGAACATTTATAAGAAACAAGTTGTCTCTCCATATCATATACATCATGTATATTGTAATAGTCTATGGTAAATACTGTCAAAACATAATTGTTTACAAAAAAGAACATTGTGTTTAGAACATTGTTTTCTAAATCCCCTTGATATGGCAAAAACAAATGTAAGATAAACACTAAGGATTTAGTCAAATTCCATGTCCCTCTAACTTTGATTACTCAAAAATTAGTCAATCTGGATTAGAGCCCGACCGATATATTGGTTCACCGATATTGTCGGCCGATATTGGCCTTTTACCCAGTGCTTGACTTGGGCAGGAGCTCACCGGAGCTGAGTACCGGCACCTTAAATGTTATACTGCTTGAGCTCCTGTTCAAAAGTATTGTGGAGCTCCTGCACCTAAATATATGCAGTACCGGCACCCAACATGAGTACCGGCACCTATTTCAGTCCAAGTCAAGCACTGCTTTTACCGCTATATCGGTAGATAATTCCACCGATAACTGATATTCAATAAATAGGACGAAAAAAGGGAATCTCATGCTTATCTGAACACTTGTTGCCATTCTCATGATATGTCTTTAATTTCACAATGTAAAAAAAAAAAATCTACATTTGAAGCATATTTCTTGGACAATTGCTGTTTTGGATGGCAATTTATGAGAATTCAGTGTGTAAAATTTAACTTTTTCATTCCCCAGCATCAAATAGTATCTCGGCAGATATATCGGTATCGCTAACTTTTGTCCCCCCAGAAATTAGAATTGGTATTGGACCCCAAAAAACATATCAGTCGGGCTCTAAACTGGATAGGCGAAAGCAATACGGATGATGGTAGACTTCATCATATTACTGTGGCTACCCTATCCTGTGTCAATATATCTTCTTTGAAAGGAGGACTTGGAAAAGGTGACATTCGGTACTTTCGCCTCATATTCAAAATTGTATCTTGAATCCAAAATGCTGGAGTATAGAGCCAAAATAAAAGATTTAGCTTCACTGTCCAAATACATGGTGAGGACTTTAGCTCCACCTTGCCCTATGATAGGCTATGAGGTAGAAGCTTCATTAAACCAATAAAATCCTCTTAGATCTCCACAAGTGCATAAAGCGTAGGGTCTAGGCGCCGATTTGGGATTAGGCCTTAGTTTTCCCTGGAGGTGGGCTGTCCTACCTGGCGGGGGGAGTTCCTCTTCGGGGCCCAAATACTCCACACTGCTGACTGTAAGAGTGGCGTTGAGCGACCCCCCAAACCCCCCCAACATGCCTGTCCCATCTGAGGAGCCCTGCAAGGGGGAACCGGGCTCTGGAGAGAGACACCCACTGGACAACGCCACATCTGCAGGAAGAACATAAAAGAGACAACATACATGGCTTAGTTTTACAACCATGTTTACCCTCTATTTGACACTCATCATCTCCATAGCATGACTACTAGTCGCGGAAATCTCAGACCTAGGGCAACAGCACTATGCTGTATGCTGTGTGTGTCAGAGGAGGCTGGTGGGAGGAGCTATAGGAGGGCGGGCTCATTGTAATGACTGGAATGTGGTTTCCATATGTTTGACGTGTTTGATACCGTTCCATTTAAGTCCATTCCAGCCATTACAATGTGCTCGTCCTCCTATAGCTCCTCCCACCAGCCCTCTCTGGCATGTGTATGCTGGAACATTGTTAATGTGGGCAGAAACCCGTCTGCTTAGGGAGACTACATGACTACATTTTAAATAGTTGGGGTATTACCCAAGTGCTTTTACTCATAATCTGCTACACCTGGCCTAATTTTGTAGGGGAGAGGACGGGGAAAAGGTGAGTGTTTGTGTAGTTTACCGATGGATGAGTCTCTCTCTCTCTCTCTCTCTCTCTCTCTCTCACACACACACACACACACCTGTGGAGCTCTGCTTCAGCTTCTCGCTTTTCTTTTTCCTCCACTTCCAGGGTTTGAAGATGCGCCCCAGGCTGGCCAGCTTGCTGTTGCGGCGGATGGGCGGGGTGTGCACCCCCGATACCAGGCAGCCACTATGCAGCACCCTCTGCTGGTCCATCACCTCCACTGCAACCAGGGAGGGCGGTGTGGGGTAGACACGGAGGATGGAGAGACCGGAGGGGGAGGAAGAGAGAGAAAATAGGGAGCGGTAGAAAAGAGAGAGGAGGAAAGGGGGTAAAGAAGGAAGGGGTAGAGATAGGGATGTGGGGAGATGGGTGAAGAAGAGAGACATGGGTAGGGAGAGAGAAATTAGTTAACATTTAAATATGCAAATATTCCCATTATATATGAGCATTTCATGGTTTGGCAAATCATGCCATGGTGTCATTGTTCACCCAATGCCTTAAGTAAATGAAATGTATTTTAATTCAATTGATGTGAACTAACAAAGAGAGACAGAGAGAAAATATTTTATGAACATACAGTGAGGGAAAAAAGTATTTGATCCCCTGCTGATTTTGTATGTTTGCCCACTGACAAAGAAATGATCAGTCTATAATGGTAGGTTTATTTGAACAGTGAGAGACAGAATAACAACAAAAAAATCCAGAAAAACGCATGTCAAAAATGTTATAAATTGATTTGCATTTTAATGAGGGAAATAAGTATTTGACCCCCTCTCAATCAGAAGGATTTCTGGCTCCCAGGTGTCTTTTATACAGGTAACGAGCTGAGATTAGGAGCACACTCTTAAAGGGAGTGCTCCTAATCTCCGCTTGTTACCTGTATAAAATACACCTGTCCACAGAAGCAATCAATCAATCAGATGGCCAAGATCAAAGAGCTCTCCAAGGATGTCAGGGACAAGATTGTAGACCTACACAAGGCTGGAATGGGCTACAAGACCATCGCCAAGCAGCTTGGTGAGAAGGTGACAACAGTTGGTGCGATTATTCACAAATGAAAGAAACACAAAAGACCTGTCAATCTCCCTCGGCCTGGGGCTCCATGCAAGATCTTACCTCGTGGAGTTGCAATGATCATGAGAACGGTGAGGAATCAGCCCAGAACTACACGGGAGGATCTTGTCAATGATCTCAAGGCAGCTGGGACCATAGTCACCAAGAAAACAATTGGTAACACACTACGACGTGAAGGACTGAAATCCTGCAGCGCCCGCAAGGTCCCCCTGCTCAAGAAAGCACATATACATGCCCGTCTGAAGTTTGCCAATGAACATCTGAATGATTCAGAGGAGAACTGGGTGAAAGTGTTGTGGTCAGATGAGACCAGTATGGAGCTCTTTGACATCAACTCAACTCGCCGTGTTTGGAGGAGGAGGAATGCTGCCTATGACCCCAAGAACACCATCCCCACCGTCAAACATGGAGGTGGAAACATTATGCTTTGGGGGTGTTTTTCTGCTAAGGGGACAGGACAACTTCACCGCATCAAAAGGGACGATGGACGGGGCCATGTACCATCAAATCTTGGGTGAGAACCACCTTCCCTCAGCCAGGGCATTGAAAATGGGTCATGGATGGGTATTCCAGCATGACAATGACCCAAAACACACGGCCAAGGCAACAAAGGAGTGGCTCAAGAAGAAGCACATTAAGGTCCTGGAGTGGCCTAGCCAGTCTCCAGACCTTAATCCCATAGAAAATCTGTGGAGGGAGCTGAAGGTTCGAGTTGCCAAACGTCAGCCTCAAATCCTTAATGACTTGGAGAAGATCTGCAAAGAGGAGTGGGACAAAATCCCTCCTGAGATGTGTGCAAACCTGGTGGCCAACTACTAGAAACGTCTGACCTCTGTGATTGCCAACAAGGGTTTTACCACCAACTACTAAGTCATGTTTTGCAGAGAGGTCAAATATTATTTCCCTCAATAAAATGCAAATCAATTTATAACATTTTTGACATGCGTTTTTCTGAATTTTTTTGTTGTTATTCTGTCTCTCACTGTTCAAATAAACCTACCATTACAATTATAGACTGATCATTTCTTTGTCAGTGGGCAAACGTACAAAATCAGCAGGGGATCAAATACTTTTTTCCCTCACTGTAGAGAATGTCCCATCCCTATGTCTCATATGGTTTTCCCCTTTAAGACTTGAAAGCAGAAACCCTACAGCAAGACTCTACAGCTACTAAAGATGGAGCACTGAATATACAGTGGGGAAAAAAGTATTTAGTAAGCCACCAATTGTGCAAGTTCTCCCACTTAAAAAGATGAGAGAGGCCTGTAATTGTCATCATTAGGTACACGTCAACTATGACAGACAAATCGAGAATTTTTTTTCTCCAGAAAATCACATTGTAGGATTTTTTATGAATTTATTTGCAAATTATGGTGGAAAATAAGTATTTGGTCACCTACAAACAAGCAAGATTTCTGGCTCTCACAGACCTGTAACTTCTTCTTTAAGAGGCTCCTCTGTCCTCCACTCGTTACTTGTATTAATGGCACCTGTTTGAACTTGTTATCAGTATAAAAGACACCTGTCCACAACCTCAAACAGTCACACTCCAAACTCCACTATGGCCAAGACCAAAGAGCTGTCAAAGGACACCAGAAACAAAATTGTAGACCTGCACCAGGCTGGGAAGACTGAATCTGCAATAGGTAAGCAGCTTGGTTTGAAGAAATCAACTGTGGGAGCAATTATTAGGAAATGGAAGACATACAAGACCACTGATAATCTCCCTCGATCTGGGGCTCCACGCAAGATCTCACCCCGTGGGGTCAAAATGATCACAAGAACGGTGAGCAAAAATCCCAGAACCACACGGGGGGACCTAGTGAATGACCTGCAGAGAGCTGGGACCAAAGTAACAAAGCCTACCATCAGTAACACACTACGCCGCCAGGGACTCAAATCCTGCAGTGCCAGACGTGTCCCCCTGCTTAAGCCAGTACATGTCCAGGCCCATCTGAAGTTTGCTAGAGTGCATTTGGATGATCCAGAAGAGGATTGGGAGAATGTCATATGGTCAGATGAAACCAAAATATAACTTTTTGGTAAAAACTCAACTCGTCGTGTTTGGAGGACAAAGAATGCTGAGTTGCATCCAAAGAACACCATACCTACTGTGAAGCATGGGGGTGGAAACATCATGCTTTGGGGCTGTTTTTCTGCAAAGGGACCAGGACGACTGATCCGTGTAAAGGAAAGAATGAATGGGGCCATGTATCGTGAGATTTTGAGTGAAAACCTCCTTCCATCAGCAAGGGCATTGAAGATGAAACGTGGCTGGGTCTTTCAGCATGACAATGTCCCAAACACACTGCCCGGGCAACGAAGGAGTGGCTTCGTAAGAAGCATTTCAAGGTCCTGGAGTGGCCTAGCCAGTCTCCAGATCTCAACCCCATAGAAAATCTTTGGAGGGAGTTGAAAGTCTGTGTTGCCCAGCGACAGCCCCAAAACATCACTGCTCTAGAGGAGATCTGCATGGAGGAATGGGCCAAAATACCAGCAACAGTGTGTGAAAACCTTGTGAAGACTTACAGAAAACGTTTGACCTGTGTCATTGCCAACAAAGGGTATATACAGTGAGGGAAAAAAGTATTTGATCCCCTGCTGATTTTGTACGTTTGCCCACTGACAAAGACATGATCAGTCTATAATTTTAATGGTAGGTTTATTTGAACAGTGAGAGACAGAATAACAACAAAATAATCCAGAAAAACGCATGTCAAAAATGTTATAAATTGATTTGCATTTTAATGAGGGAAATAAGTATTTGACCCGTCTGCAAAACATGACTTAGTACTTGATGGCAAAACCCTTTTTAGTATTCACAGAGGTCAGACGTTTCTTGTAGTTGGCCACCAGGTTTGCACACATCTCAGGAGGGATTTTTTGTCCCACTCCTCTTTGCAGATCTTCTCCAAGACATTAAGGTTTCGAGGCTGACGTTTGGCAACTCGAACCTTCAGCTCCCTCCACAGATTTTCTACGGGATTAAGGTCTGGAGACTGGCTAGGCCACTCCAGGACCTTAATGTGCTTCTTCTTGAGCCACTCCTTTGTTGCCTTGGCCGTGTGTTTTGGGTCATTGTCATGCTGGAATACCCATTCACGACCCATTTTCAATGCCCTGGCTGAGGGAAGGAGGTTCTCACCCAAGATTTGACGGTACATGGCCCCGTCCATCGTCCCTTTGATGCGGTGAAGTTGTCCTGTCCCCTTGCCAGAAAAACACCCCCAAAGCATAATGTTTCCACCTCCATGTTTGACGGCGGGGATGGTGTTCTTGGGGTCATAGGCAGCATTCCTCCTCCTCCAAACACGGCGAGTTGAGTTGATGCCAAAGAGCTCCATACTGGTCTCATCTGACCACAACACTTTCACCCAGTTCTCCTCTGAATCATTCAGATGTTCATTGGCAAACTTCAGACGGGCCTGTATATGTGCTTTCTTGAGCAGGGGGACCTTGCGGGCGCTGCAGGATTTCAGTCCTTCACGGCGTAGTGTGTTACCAATTGTTTTCTTGGTGACTATGGTCCCAGCTGCCTTGAGATCATTGACAAGATCCTCCCGTGTAGTTCTGGGCTGATTCCTCACCGTTCTCATGATCATTGCAACTCCAAGAGGTGAGATCTTGCATGGAGCTCCAGGCCGAGGGAGATTGACAGGTCTTTTGTGTTTCTTCCATTTGCGAATAATCACACCAACTGTTGTCACCTTCTCACCAAGCTGCTTGGCGATGGTCTTGTAGCCCATTCCAGCCTTGTGTAGGTCTACAATCTTGTCCCTGACATCCTTGGAGAGCTCTTTGGTCTTGGCCATGGTGGAGAGTTTGGAATCTGATTGATTGCTTCTGTGGACAGGTGTCTTTTATACAGGTAACAAGCTGAGATTAGGACCACTCCCTTTAAGAGTGTGCTCCTAATTTCAGCTCGTTACCTGTATAAAAGACACCTGGGAGCCAGAAATCTTTCTGATTGAGATGGGGTCAAATACTTATTTCCCTCATTAAAATGCAAATCAATTCATAACATTTTTGACATGCGTTTTTCTGGATTTTTTTGTTGTTATGCTGTCTCTTACTGTTCAAATAAACCTACCATTAAAATCATAGACTGATCATTTCTTTTTCAGTGGTCAAACGTACAAAATCAGC